TTTTTTTTGATTTCAATGTCTCTGATGAAAATTTTATACTTTAATCGTCGGTAATTCTAAAGCGTTAATTACGAAGCGAAATGCAAAGCTGTCTTGCAATTGTGAATTTCCAAGTACCGATGTACTGTCGCGAATTTCCTGATACACGACGAAGTGAAGAGAAATTCGATAACGAGAGATTGAAACTTGATTAGTTGGTAGTTGATTGATTATTTAAGAGATAAAGATTTATTATCGACGAACGTTGCATAAATACGAACGAGGATAAAATATTTATGGAAATTCAGTGAGGGAATATCCCTCACGAGGAATATTCCTCTCGGTAAGCTTAGAATTTATTAAAGCTTCAACTTCATTAATTAATGAAGAAAAATATTCAATTACTTTTACGTTTTACTGATACGTTGACTACACCGTTTATTAAATTAATCAATTATTCGAACGAAATAAATTTTATTAAATGAGAATGAAGGGGAAAAGTCTCTGATTTTAAACATGATGGAAAAATAATATCCACCATGTGTGTTATCTTCTAGTTGACTTTCATTTAATTAAAATCCACGTATGATTATAGTTTGTTTCTCTTTTACAAAAATTTAGAACACGCTTTGCCATTCAGACGAAATAAAATACATTCTTAAATAGAACATTATACAATTACGAATAAAATATTTATTTACTCGAAAATGCCATTATTTCCGAACTCTCGCGATTAAGATGATTAACCTTGAATAGTATAGACAATGGCGGATAAAAGAAAATGTAAATAATAGACAGTAGATCATTTAATAGTGTTTTAGTAGATTATTAAGATCAATTAATTGTTCGAGTTTTAGTAGGCTTCAGTACATTGTAAACTTGGAGATGGTTGTAGTAATTTACATCGGATTTTTAAAATTTAAACATTGACCCTGATAAAGATAAATGATAAAATTAAATCGGATTAAAAGATTCTAAAATTAAATGAAAATTCTAAAATGGCTGAAATATTATGCCATTTATGCCAGCCAAGATAGTTTGAAATTTTCAAAATATCGATTTTTTTTGTTTGTTTTAAATAGTAGTTTGAAGTCTTAGAAATAAGATACAAAAGATCCTAGCCTTTGAAACGACTTATTTTGGGGTATAATAATAAATCCGCTGATACAGAATAATTGAATTCGTATCACTGTTTACAACTTTAAGCAGTGTTATAAAGTGTAAATCATGTGATTCAAATATTACTTTTGGTGAATCGAATATTAGGAGACTTGGATTTCAATTTAGTTGTGAATTGTAAGAACTGTGAGTCGCGATATATAAGCAAAAAAAGTAAGTAAAGCATACATATGAAAAATGACGTTCTAAAACTTTAAACGCGTTTTTCTCGAAACTAGGTTTTTAGAAACAGCAAGATATCTTGGAATCTAAACAACCGATTACTGTGAAACTTGGTGCGTATCTTTAGTGTAACATTTACTAAGGATTGACGATCGAACAATTTTTTAATTTTTACCAATTTCGAAAAATATAAACAAACAACTGTAGAAATTTTCGGCATAAATTCGACGCAGCTGCTATTTTCATAATTTTCACAAAAATGAAAATGTTGAATCGTCAATCCCTAGAGAACCCAACTAATCCTGTTTGGCTGGAATCATGCACACCTATAGGCAATGTAAAAAAAAAAAGTAAAAATATGCCGTTAAAAAGCTAAATAAGAGCCCCCTTTTTTCCTTTTTTAATGTTGCTTTTTATAATTCACAATGTGTTAAAATAAACGACAAACGCTCATGTCAATCAAAT